AAAAAAATCGTTGAAAAAGGAGAAAGAGAAAAAAAGGAGTTGGCACTTGAGAGCAAACATGAGCCTAGCTTTTTATTAACATGCAGATCAAACATGCAACAGTGGCAGACAATATCATTCATATTTCTAGTCTCAAATATCAGCAAGGATAGCAAGAATTATAAAGTAAAGCTCAGCTTTATTTGACTTTGATCTTCACAACAAACTCTCTATTCTTTAGCACAAGCACAGCATATTAACTAACCAAATTAAGAATTTAACCAAACAGCAAGCTTGTCCTTGTTGGTTAACCGCTCAAAGCCATCAATAAAATCAAGGATTGAACAGCTGATAACCAAGATTAGAGAAGAACATCTTACCTGTGCCTAAATGGCATTTCATCACAACTTTCCCGTTTTTGAGATGGATTTGAAAATTTTGCTTCTGAAGGTTTAACAGCTGTTTATCATTTGCTATTTGAGCAAATCCTAAAGTCAAAGCACACAGAAGTTCAGAGGAAAGGGAAACTATGAATTTAGACAAACTATATATTTACTAAAAAGACAATGATGTGAAGTGAAGTAGCCCTCTTTCATTTAAGCTTCCAAAACTAATAATATGCTAATCTTTTTTAAGGCATCACATCCAGAAAACCGTGTTCAAACATAGTAGCAACACGTTCCACTTCTTTCTAGGATGCCAACCCCATGTATTTGCAGAGTCCCTTTTACTATCTATGTAAATTTGACAGGAGCAACTACACCAATAAACGTTTTTTCCTCCAAATGTGCATCCTGGGATCACTGCTTACCTCAAAACCAGAGCTTCTAATAGCTAAAGCACTTGTATCCTTGACAACCTATCAATCATCAATCTTAATAGTTATTGATGCTTAAGAATAGCCAACAAAGAGAAGGCAAGACGAGGATTGTGTTGTCAAGACAAAATGCTTAAACCTTACTAGTACTATACGTATCCCTTTTTTGGGCAGATAGATCAGTCCAATAAGTTGTCTATATTCATATAGCAAACTAAAAATGGCCAGAAAGCTTTTGCATCTAAACTAAGCAAGACCACCTTAATTATATATAATAAATATCAAACATATAAATAAACAGAACGCAATCCTTAACAATGACAAATGCATTAAATACTGGAATCAATGAAAAACCTATAGTAAACATCCAAATATGGCTTCTTGAAATTGAACATGGGAGCAAACTGAACATGAAACATAAATCAAAGTGTCCAGAGATATAGTCCATGAATTGATCCTTGAATTTTCTTGTTTATTTTTCTTTCAAGGCAAAATTGAGTTCTATAGAAGAAAGTTCACTTTTAACGAGAAGAGTGTAGTAAAGTTAGTATTCATTTAACTTAAAATCCTTTATTAAAAAAATTCTTTCTTTTTCCTTCCTTTCAGTGAACAACAGATGAATCGGAAGTAAATTCAGAAAAAAGACACAAAATTGCAGAGGATAGAAGAGAGCAAACCATTGAGAGAGAAGGAGAGACAGGGGAACAGATACTCAGAGTTGGGGTTAAGGTTTACGCGCGTAACACCAACAATCATGTTGGAGGGTGTTGGGAATAGGCCAACATTCAACTTGGGCTTAGTATAGAAGGTGCAATTGTTTACCCCGAAGCCCAAGACTCTCAGGAATGAGGACATGTGCATCCCTTAGCTCAGACATGCCTACGTGGGTGGTAATGCGTGGATTAACTAGATGGTAGCACGTGTGATCTTATATCATTATATGGGGTCTATAAATACCTTCATTTACTTTTGTTTAAGATAATAATTTTACTAAACTTATTTATCTGTAATTACTCTTGAGAGCTTCTTTCTTTTAAATATTGAATATTGCTAATTTGAGTGTTTAAGTATTCTCTCCGAGAAAACCTCTTTAGGATTTTCAAGTGTTGAAATGACTGAATATCTCTACGGTGTAAGCTCGCGAAACTGTTCAAATAGAAAGAAATAAGAAAAGTGAAAAAACATTAAAATATTAAATATTGTTAGACAAAAAAGTATTTTACAAGATAAATTATATATTAAAAATATAATTTATTTTATATATTTATTAAAATATTTTTAATGAAATTATTTTTTATATTATTTTATTAAAAATATTTTAATAAATTTATAAAACAAATTATACTTTTAATAGACCATTCGAATTATATTACATAAATTTGATGGTTGAATATCTAAATTAAAGCTATATTTTCTTTTAGTCCCAAGCCTTCTAATGATATCGTAAGTTACTCTCATGGTCCCAACCGTCAATTTTTTTAGCCACAACATGTACAATAATATTCTTTTCATTGGTTTTTTTCTCAAAAGAGAATAGAGACAACTCTACTTAATGGAGGTAAGTTCTAAACCAAGTTTATCCATTGTAGAGAGCAGAGGACAAATTCAGTTACAACTGTTTAAAATTTCAATTCAAATTTTTTTTATTTAAACATATAAAATATGAGTTAAATAAAAATATATATAGTAGTATGAGTTTTAAAGAAGCTTAGACTTAAATGTTATATATATGAAAATATGATTTTATATAAAATAACATCAATTGTGATGGTATGACACTAAAGTTGACTTTTTAATTGTTTCTATCATACATGTTCTACATGTAGCTTTCAAGCTTATATAATACAAGAGACAAAGTCCAAAAAAAAAAAATTTTTGTGACACGACATCATATGAGACACACCCTAGACAATAAAAGCAAGTTTTGAACGAGATATTGCCCATCAACTTCCAATCCTTCATTCCGAAGGACCATTAAATTATATTCCCAAAAAAATCCCAAAAAAAAAAAAATTACCTAATAGATGACATCATATATGAGATTCTAGACAACTAATGCAAATGGTAAGTGATATAGATATTTCATTCGTCAAGCTACCAATAATAATAATAGTTAAGAAAGCTTCTTTAATATTTAAACTTTAATCTCGATTTGTATGAATCAATATTTTTTGTATGAAAAATTCATATCTCATAAATGATGAGATATTTTCCCTTCCTTCCAATGATTGCATATGCGGTCTCACATAAATCCATTTAATCATTTGTCAAGGATTCAAGGGTTTTTTACTTTTTTTTTTTTTTCAACCAAAAGATTCAAGTCTAAACAAAGAAGGCTACAGTGCTGAGCAGTATGAGTGTAATGGTAAATTGAAAAGGTTAGGGACTAATCCATGTGTCCATTAAAACATTGAGGACTGATAAAATTGAAGAGTCACAAACAAAATGTCTTTTCTGATGTGGCAGCAGATTTTTTGGATTTCTGACATTTTTCTAGATCAAGAATCCATTTCCGAATGTGAGATTTTTTTTAATAATTTTTTTATTTCATTTTTTTTATATAATTTGATGTGTCACTAAAATAATTGATTTTTTTAATTTATGTAAGATCTATAATATTAAATATAATCACTTATTTAATGATATGATATGTAAAAATTATATAAAGAAATAAAACAAAAAAATTATTCCTACTTCTAGAATCACTCATGTATTTTAATCTGTTCATTAACCATTGAACTAATAAATCGACAGGTTTGGGTTTCTGACAAGTTGATATTTGACATTCCTTCCTTATCCAAAGCATCTTATTTAGTGAACTCTTATTGTTTGTGGATATACATGAACCAGGAATAAGACAGCCTACGCAAAAATGCAGGAAAAGGTAATCTCCCCCACTTCATGGGAGGAAGATAGCATGCCATGTTCATGCATGTTCAACCTCAAAGAAGTTCATTTTCTCCTGTTGATGTTTGATTCATATACATGCTGAGGATGCATGATGGGGTTATAACTTTTTCCATGAAAATTTGAAGGCTAGCACGTGGTGGTGTTCCCTGTCTCAAACTGCACTGTGAAGGATTCCTGAAGAGTGGAGAGATGATGCAGAAGAAAGAGAGGAAGATGTAGCCTATGCCTAATAATCAAGATATATTCCACTTGTCATTTAGAGGTCAAGTAGCTAGGTACTCTTTTTTGGTTCTTTTTATCAATTTAGGAGTTGTTGGCACACAGCATTAGCCTTTCCTACCTTCGTAAGGTCCATTTTCCATCAATTTGCAAGGGATAAGTTCCAAAGATGTCCAAACTCCTCAGCAATCGACAACTAGTGTAATTCATAATAATCTTTTAGAACAAAGGAAGAAATTTAGATATTGACAACTAGTTAATTGATGAATGAACATTTGTATCACTTGTTTGATATCTTTATTCCTTCTGAATCACTAGAAGAGGGGACCTTGTAGCAAACGTCAGGATTGGATTGGATAAACTCTTATCTTCCTCCACATCAGCCAACCAGTTCCACCCCCTGACGACTTCTGCACAGCTGACTCTACCAACAGTGTTAGAACAGATGCTTTGATGACAGTTGGAGCCCTTTTACTTAAATTTCATTATCATCTTTTCCCTGTTGATGAATTAGAACACGCTTTGTTAGATGAAGTAGGGAGGGTGGGGGTGTGTGGAGGTGAGGCACTTTCATGATTAGCGTTATCATGTTCTTGCACATTTTGCAGATGAAAAGAATGTCTAGAAGAGAAAGTGATTTTTTTCCAGGCCTTTGACATTCTTAAATTAGCTACTCGAAATTTTCTATCTTTAGATTATTAGTATAATTATTGGTTTGAAATCATGGAAGTATTATTCTAGCTGTCTCTCTTGTCGAAAAGGCATAATTTCCGTATTAGTATTTTATGAAATATCCACCCCTAATGCTACCAACCAGGGCTGAAAGTATTTGATTTTTATTCTGGTAGTAATTGAGGTTGTCTGGACACTTCAGGTTGCTAAATGCAACTGGTTAAGCATGTCAGCATCAAACAAATCTTGGCTAAGGATTTTTCTTATCCAAACAAATATCTAAAGAAACTTCCTCTTTTTATTCCATTTCTTTTGTCTATTGTTTCCTGTTCTAGATTAAACAAATGCATTCAACTTCTCTCTCTCAGCCCTTATAAATAGGAGGTAATGAAGTCATAGAGTTCACCAGAGCAAGCTTCCTACTGCAAGACACTTCTCTCTTGTCTAGCTTTTTATTCCTTTGCAGATCAAACTCTAGCTTTTTCTTCAATCTTCATCTAGCACTTCCTGTCGAGCTTCTTTTATCGATTGTGCTTCACTGCTAGAGATTTCTTGGTTTTTTACACATCTTTGTTTCATTTCTTAGCAAAGCCTGTACAAATGGACAGGATTAGAGATCTGGCATCAAGGAAGGCTGCAGTTATATTCAGCAAGAGCTCATGTTTCATGTGCCATAGCATCAAGTCTCTTTTTTATGAACTTGGTGCTAGCCCTGCAATTCATGAGCTTGACCAAGATCCCAAAGGGAGAGAAATGGAGTTGGCTCTTCGTGGGCTAGGGTGCAATCCCTCAGTCCCAGCTGTGTTCATTGGTGGAAAATTTGTAGGCTCAGCAAAAGATGTCATATCTCTCCATGTAGATGGATCTCTGAAACAAATGCTCATAGATGCAAAAGCTATCTGGTTCTAGCAAAGAATCTCCACTCTGCATTAGTACTTGTAGTAGCAGCAATGTGAAAATAACTCTAATATTGACTCAAAACAATCATGTATTAAGAGCTTTCCTTTTTCTTGTGTTCCTTAAGTACATTGTCTTCTGAAAAGAATAGCCTAAGTAGTTTATATAGTGTTTTGAATACTTTGTAAGCCTGCAATGATTTCCACAGGATGTGGAAATACATCACAACACAGAATGGATTGTGAAGCTTTTAACTTTATGAGGTTCTTTCCTGTTAGAAGCAAACAGTCTTGATAGAGAGTTCCTTCTCAACAATATTGAACAAAATCTCTCTCATCAATCTAAAGTGTTTCAGAATAAAGCCTGTCCACTTATGAAAAGTGATCTCCCCTCTCTAAATGAAGTGAGAATTGCATTAGCATCTTGAATTGGACATGAAATGCTCTTTCTTCTTAAGATGTTTAATTTTAGAATGGCGATCAGAATTCCAATGGTTGGTTTCTGAATTTCTAGTTCTGTCATTCCGGTGACTGGACACATGTTACAACAGATATCGGCCATCACTTAGCAAGTTTACTTCGAAGCACGAAAAATATTTTTATACTAATCCATGTTATATTGTATGATTCTTCTGAATTTCTAGTTCTGTCATTCCGGTGACTGGACACATGTTACAACAGACATCGGCCATCACTTAGCAAGTTTACTTCGAAGCACGAAAAATATTATTATACTAATCCATGTTATATTGTATGATTCTGACCTAGGGACAAAAAGGTCATGCTGGATCTTTTCACAGTTTCATGCGTCCTTTCTATTCCTTCGTATCCAAGTAGGAAAACCCCTTTTTTAATATCAGGCATAAATTAAGAATGGTACATCCTAGATGTACATGTAAACATGGATACTCATCCACATTATATTTCTAATATCAGCCTGATTGACACTCTTGGATGCTATGCAGCCTCAGTAATGGTTAATATTTTTATGTTTTTTGCAGATAGATAGCACAGAGAAGAAGAACTTTTTTCTATCTTTGTGTGGGGAGAGTTGTAATGCATGTGGGAGGCATTTTCATATGTGATCATACCATCTTGAGTGCAGAACTCCTATATGATAAGAAATTAGCTTTATTTCACTCCTGTATGTAGGGAGGAATCAGTCACAGGAGATGGTGGGCACAACAGAAGGAATAGCAGCCACCGAAAGCCATCAAATTTCATTCTCAATCTTTCTTTGTAAGGCATCAGAGAAAGTGATTGTGAGAATCTGGTATAATTTGACTTGCCTGAAAGACTTTTCCACTTTTTATTGTGTCTTTCTGTTGAATATAATTCACCCCCCTTAAAATCAACAAAAGGCCACCTTGATTGCAAAATCAGATATTAATCCTGCAACTTGGTTACTGTTTTAGACCATTTAATTTGAGTAGAGTAAGGAATCAATCTTTGTATCAGATAGTAATTGGTTTGTAATCACTTGCTCTTAAATTTATTTGATTTGAGCAGGAAATTTATTTTCCACCTTGTTTTGCAAATGGGAACACAGTAGTCTTAATCCCATAAAGTTACTTTAATAGTTTGGGCATCCAAGTAAAAGCACATCCTATTTTGAATGTTCTAGTTCAAACGAAGCAGTCCACCATATGCTGTCCCTATAAATACTCTACCATGAGAGATCAAATTTCAAACAACCTTAAGCTTTGAACTCTTTCCTCTCTTGCTTCTTCACCTACCATTACCTTCCAGCACCATTGGATCGAATTCAGCTTGAATTCGATCTGATGGTTTTTAGGCTTTAGGTGAAATTGAGAGGTAACCTTGGGACATCTCTGAATCTTCTTTTCTTTGTCCTGTGTTACTTCTATCCCTGCTACAAAATCTCACAAAAAAACAAGCAGTCATCCTTTGTCTGGATTCATCATGGACAAGGTGATGAGGTTGGCCTCAGAGAAAGGAGTTGTAATATTCACTAAGAGCTCATGTTGCCTATGTTATGCGGTCAACATTCTGTTTCAAGAGCTTAGGGTGAACCCCGTAGTTTATGAGATTGACCAAGATCCTGAAGGCAGGGAAATGGAGAAAGCTCTTATGAGGATGGGGTGTAACACGCCAGTACCAGCTGTGTTCATAGGTGGACAGCTTGTTGGTTCAACCAATGAAGTCATGTCCATGCATCTAAGTGGAAAACTTATTCCTATGTTGAAGCCTTATCAGGCTATGTGTTAAAATTAACTATCGTTATCCAACTGCAAGAATAAAATTGGCTCAAATTAGCAGTATAATGAGCTGTGTATTGTGTAGTTTGAGTAGCTTTATATCTTAAGTACTTCATAGCTTCAAATTAGCTCTAGTGTGTAATCTGTCTATTGATTAATGAATTAGCTTTAATTATATACCTTTTTTTAGCCTTAGCTTTAATTATATACCATTCTGCTGTTTCTCCCTGCAATGCAAGTCAAATGCTGCAAAGTTCCTTATTTGGAAGTCCAGCATAGGCTGCAATTCTTTACTGACGTAGAAAATGAGATATAATGTTGAAAAGAATCTTCGCACTGCTCCATTTCTAGATTTCTCTATTGTTGGATCTTTGCCTAACTCGTATCCAAAACTAACGTGTTATCTTTCATTTAAAATGTTACATTCATGGCATTGTTGAAACTTTAAGTGACAGATGCTTGTGGCAAAATCACTGTTTATTCTAATCAATGCGTCATGACAATATTCCCCTAATCAATCATTTGGTTTAGGCATCCTAAACAGAACAAGTTCAAAGGAGATACTTCTGTATAAAAAATAGGAACGGTATAACACAAAAAGAGCTTCTGGAATGTTGAAAGCTTGTTATTTGGTGGGATCTAGCTAAAAGCAGAGATTTATCAAAAGGATGAAGAAGATAACTTTTGAGGTGCTCCAACTTTTTACCACCCCATTGCATTTCTCCCATATCTAGAGAAGTGTAGCTGGGAAATTCTGAACTTTTTTCTATAGTGTACAGCTACTGATTCTTCTACTTTATCCTAGATAAAGAAAACGAATTACATTCCTTTCCTTTTCCTCTATAGTCTAATTTACTTTTGTTCTTTTCCAAACGCAGTGCAAGTGGTTGATAATTGGTCATACTCAGGAACCTTTTGTCAGTGTCCAATATCTTGGCCAAATCCAACGGCTTAAACTTGGTAAAATTTAAACGCTACATACCATATAGCATCTTGATGGGTGCCAGAGTCGAAAAAGTTATCTTTTCTGTAGTGCACAGGCCTCCTAAAAAATAAGGAGAACTTTCAACTAAGTTTTGATAATAAAATTTCTTTTTAACATGTTCAAAACAAACCATAGGTTATAGCCATGATTGTATAGAAGGTACAATTTGAACATGGAGGCCTTACTGTATGCATCGCATATTTGCCCTTGAAAGGTTGAAAGTTTGAAAGTTGTAGGTTTGTAGCTAGGAGCAAATAATCTTTGACAGTTTAAGTCCTCTATTTGCATGAAAGCTAAACTTAAATAATGAGGCCTCTGTGCA